AGAGGGCCCCCATCATCCGGAAAACTGTGCAGGGTCCCCCTTCTCTCCCTCTTCCGATGCATCCTCTCGTCCCCCAGCGGGCACCCTCCTGTCTTAGAGAGAGTCAGCCTGGATGGCCCCAGCACTTGGCTTCTCCCATCCCAGAGCGCCGTCCCTCCCTCCCTCCCAGCCTGCCCCGGGTGTCGGTGCCTCTGGACACTGGCTGGTAAGCTTCCTAATATAGCCGCCGTTTCCTCAAGGGGAGGCAGAGCCGCTCTTCTGTCCCAATCTGAGTTTCTCCCGGCTTAAAGGGGCCGTGTCCGCCCATCTCGTGCCGAGTTTAAGCGAAAGTTTGAACGTCACAAACTTGCCCAACCCAGAGATTAGATGTCTTCTCTCTTTCCCCCAGTCCACCACCTTCTCTGCTCTGTTCTGTTTACTCTTCCTTCTCCCCACGCCCCCACCCCTTTCTTCTGAGACAAATGCACACGGCTGGACATGGATGTGAGTTTTGGTTCTGGTGCTTTCATTGGCTGTGTCATCTTGGGGAAGTCTTATAGGAATCATTAATTACCTCTGCAGTCATCTTCACAGAGCTCTGTTCGGATGGACAGAGCAGAGAGGAGAGAATAAAGAGTTATCGAAGGCATGCTGTTCATTATTCAACCAATATCCATCGAGTGCCCATTTGGTACTGTCCCACACACTGAGGACGAAAAAGAACGAGTCCGTGTCTCACATCCCCCTGTGGCCGGTCATGGAAGGGAGGGGAGCCCCGATGTCCCTCTTCCCTCGGGCTACTCCTGCCCACTGGACAGAGGGGCTGCAGGCACCGGGGTCCCTCTCCAACAGGTCAAAGCCGGATTCCTGGTGGTGAGGCCTGGGGGATCCGTATTTTATTCTCAGAACTTCTAGGGCGGGAGTCAGGACTGAGAACCAGGGGCTCAGAGCAGGAGCTCTGGGTGTCAGAAGACTTGGGTTTGGATCTGCCTTCTTAGCTCTCCGACTACCCACCTCTTCTCCTGCAAACCAGCCTCCTCAGGGGACCCACCTCACAGGGCCTGGAGGGGTTTACGTGAGCTCCTGACCCTGTTCATGGTCCTGATGGGGTTCTTCACGGCGAAAAGCTGGGGCGGGGAGGAGAGGGGGCTTGAACTGAGCCGCCTGTGCCGGGGGAGGGGGGCCAGGTGGCCTGGAGTCCTGTGGACACGCTCTCCTCCCCCTCCACAGTCACGGGGCCCCGAGTTCTAGAAGCCCTACACGTCAGGGTTAGGCCAAACCTCGGGGAGCTTCATGTCCAGCCTCGTCATTGGCCGGGAGGGCGATGGGGGGCTGGAGAGGAGCAGAGAGCTGCTCAGTGCCACACACACAGCGAGATGGCGTCTCTGTGCGGCTCAGACAATCGGTCAGCAGACGTCGGTGGAGCCCCTCCCTGGGCCAGGCGTTGCCCCGGGGGCTGGGGACACAGCGGAGAGCAGAACAGGCGAGGTCCCCGCCCTTACAGAGCCTCCGTTCTGGCAGGAAGAGAATACAATAAGCACAGTAGGCCCATCCTATGGCACGCTGACAGGTAATACCTGCGATAGGGGGGAAAAAAGTAAAAGGAGGCTGGGGCTGTCGGGGTGCGGGGTGCGGGTGCGGCAGACTGCAGTCAGGATGGGGCTCCTGAAGGAACAGGCGGGGCCGTTATCTGCAAGAAAAGAGACACAGACGAAGGGACCAGCCCAGGCGAAGGCCCCCCTGGGCGCAGGCCCATCGGGCTGACCTGGGGTCCCCCTACCTGGCTGGCTGTTTGGTTACCCAGCCCCCGGGGGCGGAGGATTTAGTGGGAAGAAGGCGGCCATTTGGGATTATCTGGTAAAGCAGGGGGAAGGGTCAGCGTGTGTTTAAAACAAAAGCCCTGATGAGCGGATCTCACTCATCGGGGGGAAATGGCGAACAACACAGACTGAGGAACAAGAACAGACCTGGAGAGAAGGAGCCGTGGGTCAGACTGTTGGACCTCGATGGGGCGAGGGTGGGGATAAAAGGGAGAGATCAACCAAAGGACTTGTGTGCGCACATAGGAGTCTAACCAGAGGTCAAGGACAATAGGGGGGTGGGGGCATGAGCGGGGAGGAGTGGGGATTGGAATGGGGGGTTGAGGACAAATATGAGCAATAAAGAAATTTAAAAAAATAAAAAATAAAGTTAAAAAATAAAACAAAAGCCCTGTGTTCCCTGCCCCCGTTCGGTGAACCTTGCGTCAGGGACTGTCCTGTGTGCTGGAGGCAGGAGGATGAAGCAGGGAGCTGGCTTTCAGGGTGCTGCTGGGGAGACGGTGGACGGTGTGTGGGGGAGGGGGAGGAGATGAGGTGGCGGCAGCTGTGTCACATCCAGGGGCTCCCACCTCCAGGCTGCCATGGGGAGCCACAGAGGGAAGAAGGGGTTGAAGGTATATTTGGGGTAGGGGGAGTCCGTGGGACACAAATGACAGTTACAGAAACCTGACCGTGCAATCGCCCAGGGAGGACGGGGAGGAGGCTTTGAGAGCCCTGGGGAGCACAGCACGTAAGAATGGCGGTGGAGCAGGAAGCTATTTGGTCAGCTTTGTATTGACCTGTCATTACTGTTCAGGTGACCTCACACACCAGCACAGCTTTGTCAAATCCCATTGTCACACACACACATTTTCTTTCTGAAACTTTCAGAGATCTTGGATCATTTATTTATTTATTTAAATGTATTGATTTTTTACTGAGAGGAAGGGAGAGGGTTAGAGAGCTAGACACATCGATGAGAGAGAAACGTCGATCAGCTGCCTCCTACACACCCCCACCTGCGGATGCGCCCGCAGCCAATGTACATGCCCTTGACCGGAATCGAACCTGGGACCTTTTAGTCCGCAGGCCAACGCTCTATCCACTGAGCCAAACTGGTTTCAGCGATCTTGGCTCATTTAAACCTCAAACAGCCCTATGAATTAAGAGGCAATTATCTCTGTTTGACAGATAGGGAAGTTGAGGCACGGAAAGGGTAGGTCACGTGCCAAAGGCTGCGCTGCTAGTAATGGGGGAGGGGGAGGGGAAGGGCCGGATGTGGACCCAGCAGCCTGGCTCCTGCCGTCTGTGCTCCAGGACTCTGGCTCCATGCTGCCTCTTTGCACGTGGCGGCCGCTCACAGTCTCATTCCCGCAGCCCTCGTGCTCACTCACGGACACGGAGGTCTCCTGCGTCCACATGGCCGTACATAGTTTCGTTTCACTGACGTCCACAGCCTCCCACACTCTTTTATCCTAGAGGATCGCCTCACCGTGTGCTTTGGCCTGAGCACCCAGCTCCTCTCACATCCCCCTGGGACCTTGGGTGCTCACCCCTCTGTAGATGCACTGCGTGGCACACTTAGGATCTCACAGAGTGACAGGGCCCAGCACAGATACACACTCCCCCATGCTCTCACAGTGACATGGCCCAGCACAGATACACACTCCCCCATGCTCTCACAGTGACATGGCCCAGCACAGATACACACTCCCCCATGCTCTCACAGTGACATGGCCCAGCACAGATACACACTCCCCCATGCTCTCACAGTGACAGGGCCTAGCATAGATACACACTCCCCCTTGCTCTCACAGAGTGACAGGGCCTTGTACAAATACACACTCCCCCATGCTCTCCAACAGTCACGTGCTTTCCGACAGTCACGCGGCTGCAAACTCACTGCCGTGTTCATTCATGGACGTGGACATGCACATCCCCTTGCACTCTACCGTGGCCACGCACACACGTTGAACCTCACACCCGGCAGAGCCTCGAGTGCTGCACAACGTTGCGCTCTGACCCTCTAACAGTCTGGCAGCCTCCATCGACGTTGCCTTTCCTTGCACTCAAGGCCTCGGATGCTCTCCTAAGCTTATGTGACATCGTTATGACATAACGATCGCCTTCTGTGCTCTCACTGCTTTGCACACTCATGACTGTTCATGTTCCCACTACCTTGCACCCACCCGCAGGGTGTAAATATTCACATTGCCGTGCAAACCCAATGTCTTGCCTACTCGTTCTTGCACCAGCATTCTCTTGTGTGTAACTTTAAATCTGTGCACACATTTATTTATTTATTTTTTAATATATATTTTATTGATTTTTTTTTTACAGAGAGGAAGGGAGAGGAAAAGAGAGAAACATTGATGAGAGAGAAACATCCATCAGCTGCCTCCTGCACACACCCCACTGGGGATGTGCCCGCAACCCAGGTACATGCCCTTGACCGGAATCAAACCTGGGACCTTTCAGTCCGCAGGCCGACGCGCCATCCACTGAGCCAAACCGGTTTTGGCCTGTGCACACATTTAAATTCACACACACACTCTCACCTGCTCATACAACTTCACCGTTAAAACTGACTGCTAACCTCAACCTTGCTCTGTCTTGTACACTAATGACTTCGGCGTGTTCCTGCTGACGGAAACATCCACACCACGCAAACCCCGCCCGGCTTGCCCGTTCGTCTGCTTGCACGTGTAATCTCACTCCAGGGCCTCCCTTGCTCACGCCACTTTGCACATGGATGCTCTTATTCTCCCAGCCTCACTACCTCACACGCTTGTGGCCTTGCCGTGTTCCCACCCATGAAAATAGTCATCGTGGCTTGTCCGCTCATGTGCTTGCACATGCGTGTAACCTAAGGTGACCAGACGTCCCGATTTCTAACAATTTGTCCTGCATCTCGCGGCGTTTTAAACACCAGCGCAGGACAAATTGTTAGAAATCGGGACCGTCCCGCCAAAATCGGGATGTCTGGTCACCATGACCCTCGGAGCCTGGCCTGTTTTCATGACTTCGACCTCTTTGTCCCTCAGCTGGCCTGGCCCCTCCGATGGCTTGCCCTCCGCTGGCCTTGTGCCTCCGCTGGCCTTGCCCTCCGATGGCCCTGCCCTCCCATGGCCCTGCCCCTCCCGCCCCGGCCCCCAGGCCCCGGTGCGCCCTCGGGGCCCCTCCCGCCCGCACTGACCTGCCCTCTCGCCTCTCCGCCCGCAGGCACGTACCAGGGCCAGTTCGCCAACGGCATGCGGCACGGCTACGGCGTGCGCCAGAGCGTGCCCTACGGGATGGCCGCGGTGGTGCGCTCGCCGCTGCGCACGTCGCTGTCGTCCCTGCGCAGCGAGCACAGCAACGGCGCGCTGGCCCCGGACGCGCCCGCCCCGCCGCCGCCCGACGGCCCGCCGCCGCCCTCGCCCGCCATCCCGCGCGGCGGCTTCGCGCTCAGCCTGCGGGCCCGGCCCGACGGCGGCCCCCGCGCCCGGGCCGGGCTGCTGCCCCGCGCGCCGCTGCTGGGCCGCCTGCGCCGGGCCGAGTCCCGCGCGTCGCTGGGCAGCCAGCGCAGCCAGCCCGGCTCGGGCGCCAGCGACAGCTCCTCCGCCAGCCTGGGCGGCGAGGCGGCCGACGCGGCGGACGAGGCGGCGGCCTTCGAGGCGGACATCGACGCCACCACCACCGAGACCTACCTGGGCGAGTGGCGCAGCGACCGGCGCTCGGGCTTCGGCGTGAGCGAGCGCTCCAGCGGCCTGCGCTACGAGGGCGAGTGGCTGGACAACCTGCGCCACGGCTACGGCTGCACCACGCTGCCCGACGGCCGCCGCGAGGAGGGCAAGTACCGCCACAACGTGCTGGTCAAGGGGCCCCGGCGCCGCGTGCTGCCGCTGCGGGGCCACCGGCTGCGCCAGAAGGTGGAGCGCGCCATGGAGGGCGCCCAGCGCGCCGCCGCCATCGCGCGCCAGAAGGCCGAGATCGCCGCCTCCAGGTAGGACCCGGGCGCGGAGCGGGTGGGCCCGTGCAGGAAGGAGGTCCTGGGACCGGCCGCCCGGGATAGGAGGCCGTGGCTGCACACCTGTTCCTGCCCATCAGAAACAGACAGAGCATCCTCCGGGATCGTTAGAGGGTTCTTTGGAGGTGCTTCAGGTCTGGTGCCACCTGTTGTCCCTCAGCTGCCCCCATCCACCCGTTTACCAACCCCTCCGTACACTGAGTCCTGCCATTCGCCCAGCCTTTCTGATATCCACCTGAACAGCCAACACTTCACCAAACGATCCACCCTACCTTACCCACCCACCCACCCACCCACCCATTCCACTTTCTGCTTACCAATTCAACTATCCAGTCACCCAGCCATCCACCCGACCACCCAGATACCCATCCAGCCACCCAGTCACTCATCTGTCCACCCAACCCCTCCATTCACCTAACTTCTGTATTGAACACTTGAACAACTCTCCATTTGCTCAACCTCTCCATCCATCCTACTCAATCAACCTCTCCAACATCCATCTGAACAATTACCCATCCACTCAACCGTTTCTTCATCCACCCATCCAACTAACCATCTCTTTACCTACCCAACCATCCAGCCACCTAACCATCCAGACACCCATCCAAATATCCATCCCCTCATCTACAACAACCCACATTCACTCAACGGCTTCCATCTACAAGGCACCCATCCTAATATCCAACCATGTTTCCATCCACTGAAACAACATCCACTGCCACTCACCCAGTCATCCGTCCGTCCGTCCATCCATCCATCCATCCATCCATCCAACCAACCACCTCCATCGCCCAACCATTCCTCCATCCAACAATCCATCCACACTTCCATTTACTCAACCAACTCTCACCTACCCATGTGCCAGCCCTGCCTTCATCCATCCTCCTTGCATCCATATTCTAACATCTTTATGTCTTCTCATTGTACTTCAGAAAAAGTTCTAATGTGTCTTCAAACATTTATAGCATCTACTGTGTGCATGGCACTATTTTGAGTGGTTTATGAACATTGACTCATTCTGTTTCCTTAAGGGCCTTGCATGATCGATATTATTTTTATTTCCATCTTACAGATGAGCCAAATGAGAGATAAGGTGGCTTGTCCAAAATCGTCCATGTAGTAAGCGGCCCTTCCTAATTTAGTTTCTACTTTCCTGTTCAGCCATTCTTGACCTGGCCCTGTTTTTTTTTTTTTTTTTTTTATCTGTGCCAGTGGTCACGCTGGCCTTTTATCAGTTTTCTTTAGTTCCCCTCCAGAGGGCTTCGGTTCTTCTGGTCCCTCTGTCCGGACGGCTCGTCTTTCCTCTTGCTCCTTCATTCCTACTTCTTCAGAGCTCAGGTCAAGCCTGAACCACTTATTTATTTATTTTTAACAGAAAGTCAGATTCTTTTTTTTTTTTTTTAAATATATTTTTATTGATTTTTTACAGAGAGGAAGAGAGAGGGACAGAGAGTTAGAAACATAGATGAGAGAGAATCATCAACCAGCTGCCTCTTGCACACCCTCTACCGGGGATGTGCCCGCAGCCAAGGTACATGCCCTTGACCAGAATCGAACCCGGGACCTTTCAGTTCGCAGGCCCGCGCTCTATCCACTGAGCCAAACCGGTTTCGGCAAACCTGAACCACTTAGAGAACTAATGATGCTCAGTCACTGTCACAGATGGACTATTACTCAGCTACATGGACATCTTAGAATGCCTTATAGCAACATTATGCTGCTTAGGTGGCTTGTTTTTAACCTATAACTTAATAGAGGGGTCCCTATGTACCAGTCATCGTTCTGAGGTCTTTACGGATATAAATTCATCCTATCTTTAAAAGCTATTGATGAGGTAGGTACCTGATGAGGTAGGTACAGTTGTCATTCCCTTTTTGCAAACGTGAAGTGAGCTGCAGGGAAGCAGTGGGTGTGGCAAGACAATGGTAAAGGTTCTTGCCTCTCCAGTGCCTTAGCAATCCTGCCTGTGGCTCTAAATGGGCTGGGCTGGAGGCTGTGGCACCACGGTCTTCAGAGCAAAGCAAACCTAGGGTCAGACCTTGGCGTTACATTTCTTAGCTCAGAGACTCGGCACATCGGTTCGCCTGTCTGAGCGTCCGTTTCCCCATCCGTGGCACCGCTGCTGCTCAGCAGTGTGTTCTTGGGCCGGTCCGTTTTCTTCTTCAACCTCCGTTTGTGTCACCCGTTAAAACGGGGCTGGGCTAAGGGCTGAGAAAGACGGGTGCAGGTCCAGGGGCTGGTTCACAGCCCCGTAGCGGGATGAGCTCCTCGGTAAGCGGACTTCAGGACGGGGATGAGTGTGTTGGACGTTTCTGGGGAGCGCTCTGAGGACCAGCACTCGTGGGGAAGCGAGGGAAGCAGGATTGGGGCAGTCCAGAGGGAGACGGGGCAGTCCCCACAGAGGCCTGCGCCCACCACAGGGCCGTGCTCCGGTGGCATGACCTTCAGAGTCCAGTTGAGGTGAGGGAGCTGGATCTTTCCATCTTCTCCGCTGGATGCAGGCGGCCCTCTGGAAAGGGGCATGACCTGGGGCGGGACAGTTCTCTTCAGCCGAGGCAATCCCTGGACAGGGCTGACAGCCGGCAGCACTCTGAAATAATGTCTTCCTCCTGAGGGCGGAACGGGGTGGCACATGACAGTATCCGTTACAGTCTAGACTCCCAGCAAAGGCTCAGTAAGCCTCATTTGTCATGGTTGTCACTCGGTGTATTCATTTTGCAGATGTGGGAACTGAGACCCTGAGAAGGATAATATGCTCAAGACCACCTGGAAAGCAGACAGGAGAACCAGCCCCTAGCTTGCCTGCCTTCCTTCCTTCCTTCCTTCCTTCCTTCCTTCCTTCCTTCCTTCCTTCCTTCCTTCCTTCCTTCCTTCCTGTCTTCCTGTCTTTCTGTCTTTCTCATCATTTCTCCCAGATGAGTGAGATCATGTACACTGGGAGTCCTAGCTTTCTGATTCCAGGCTCCGCCCGGCACATCTTAGTGTCGCTAACCTTCGTAAACTTGTAATTGCTGTGAATGCGTGAACAGTTAGTATCATTTAGAAGGAAAGAAGGGCCCTGGCCGGTGTGGCTCTGTGGGTAGAGTGTCGGCCTTAGGACTAAAGGGTCCCGGGTTCGATTCTGGTCAAGGGCACAGGCCTGGGCTGCAGGCTTGATCCCCAGTGTAGGGCATGTAGGAGGCAGCCGATCAATGATTCTCTCTCATCGTTGATGTTTCTGTCGCTCTCTCCCCCTCTCTTCCTCTCTGAAATCAATAAAAATATATTAAAAAAAAAAAAAAAAGAAGGAAAGAAGGGATGGGTAACTTTCATAAGGCTTCTCGGTTAGGGGCATGTCTCTCCCCGCTAAAACGGGCTATGGCTTGAAAAAGATCCTAGACCTGCGCTGTCCAATATGGCAGCCACTAGCCATGTGCGGCTGCTGAGCTCTTGAACTGTGGCCGCTTGGGATGGAGATGCCCTTTAAGTGTGAAACAGGCACTGGGCTCCACAGACTAGGGAAGACAAGAATGTGAAGTAGCCCATGAACCATTGTTTTTTTTTATGTTGACAACATGTTGAAATGGTTATATTTTAGATATATATTGGGTTTGATAAAATGTATTATTATAATGAGTTGCACCTGCCTCTTTTTTACTTTTGAATGTAGCTACTAGAAACTTCTAAAGTGGCAGGTGTGCCTCACATTGTACTTTTATTGGGCAGTGTTTGGGGATCTCCAGCCCGTGGGCCATATAAGGCCTGGGAAATCAGTTGGTCTGGCTCTGTCAAGGCGTTCGGGGTGAGTAAATTAAACGTTTGACCAAATATAGCAGGTTGATTTTTTAAGTTGGTACTTTCGGATGGCTTGCAGATTGTGTCATAAATATCCACATGGCCCTGGGCAGGAAAAAGGTTCCCCATCCCTGCTGTAGACATACTCAGGCCCCCAGAAGCTAGGCCAGCCCCTTCACGGGCCAGATGGGAAAACTGAGGTCTGGAAAGGAACCCTTATCACTGTGTGGTCGGTAGGTAGCTAAGCCTCCTGTCCTCTGATTTCGTGGTGAAGAGCCTTTTCTGTAATACCTTTTAAGGTCATAAGCACTGAGCCTGGGAGGGAAGCTGGGATGTTTGGGAAGGTGTCTAAACTTTTCTGGTTGCCATGCCAACGCCCTGATGGATGGCTCCCGTCTGGAAGGAGCACAGGGAGTGGCTCACAGGGAGGCTTGGGTCTGCCTTGCGCTTGCCTTCTCTCCAGATCTCAGTTCTCTCATCTCTGGAGGGAGAATGACGATCTCTGCCTTGAAGGGTGTTCATAGGAGTTAAGTCAGAGACTGCGTGTGAAGCCCTCAGCACAGGGCTGGGAGCAGGAAGTGCTCCATGCATGAGAGCTGGGATTGCCTCTGCCTGCTTTTCTTGTTCTGTGGCCTGCAGGTTCTCAGCTGTCCCGGGGAGTGAGGCTGGGGACATCGGGTTTGTACCCGGTTGGCATCAGTGTGGCCCTGAGAACAGAGCACCCTGACCTGGTCTGTCCTCTGCTTCTCCGCCTCCACACCTCCATCGCCTCCCAGCCCCGCCCCAGGAAGTCCCAGGTTTGGAGCAGGGACAGAGCTGGCTGTGCGAGTTACTGAGAAATGGGTTTCTCGGGAGGAAAGGAGCCCCAGGTGGTACAGTAGCTGAGAACTTGGACTGTGGAGCAGAACAGACCCAGGTTTGAATCTGGTTTCACCTTCTTGTTGTTATGCCCAAGTGTCATCAACCCCAAAGACTACCAGGGAGCCGAATCCAATGCAATTGCAGAAAGCCTGTATTTATTTCGGACTAGTGCGAGCCCAGTCTCACCTACACCAAGGAGGGCATGGGCGAGAAAGAGGAAGAACTTAACATATCAATGGGTTTTATAGGGAGGGTAGTGCTACTACCTTGGCTGACCTGATTGGTTGGGTTAGGCCTAGGGTCCAGTTACCTGGAGCTGGACCCGCTCCACCCTGCCCTCT